TGATGAATTTAATTATTAATGAGTTTGAGAAGCATTGTTACTTTGTATGTACACCAGTACTAGGGATAGTTATGATAATTCACCCTGTCTAGCTAACCTCTTGGGTTGACAAAACCCTTAACCTTTGCATGCTTGACCTTGATTTTAAAGAAATAAACCTACTTCTTGGTGTTGAAGAACATTTAAATGACTGGATCACTTTATATTTTTGTGAAGCCTGCTAATCTTAAATGTGCACCCAAAATGCAAGAATGCCTGCTAAATACATTTGTGACCATCAACTTTGTGTGACATTTACTGAGAATAGTAAACTACATTTCTTTAATTACACAGTACTAAAACCACCTTTACATTTGAACATTGAAAAAGTCACTGTAGTTGTCTTGTCTGAAAATCAAGTTAAAGGGTTGAATTATTACAGAAATCTGTGTAAGCTTTTGTAGGAGGTACATAAATTTGGGCAAATTGACCTGTTTTGAAAGCAATTTTGCCTGCCTGGTTTGACCATCTAGAGGAAAGTTTTTCTTGCATATTTAGAAGTTCAGTTCAAATAGTTTTGTCTTCTTTTGAAAACCAGTTTCCCTCCTGCTGAAAACATTAATGACTCCTCAGTAGTGTGAAATCTTGGCCAGGTTTGTTGGGTTGTTCTTCAGCTCTGCCTCTCTCCACCAGGAAAATTAACGTGTACTTGCTAATTGTGAGGACAAGACAGAATGCTTGTATCTTAACTAGGTAGAGTAGATACAGTAGTGAGTAGATTGTTTACAGTAAAAAAAAAAGAATAAACAGCCAAACTGCATCCCCAGTTTATTTTTACTGTACAAATCTGAGTCCTAATTTTAATTCTAGCAATGGGGAGCTTTGTAATCAAACTATAGCCCTCTATGCAGTTGTCCTTTAGCCTTCTGTGGCATTCCTTCCTTGCTCACTTGTTTGGAAGGATTATGTATAATGAGTTTGCATATGAGCCAAGTGGCCCATCAGGCCGGAGCTTATCCCAGTTTCTGTAGCATGAAGAGACTAGGAGTATTTTTACTCCCTCCTGGATGGGATTCTAGTCCATCGCAGGTCTACCCCTCTCATTAAATTTGCTGGTACCCATCTATACACCTGGGTTGAGAGAGGCACTGTAAGAGTAAAGTGTCTTGTCCAAGAACACAACACGATGTCCCCAGCTAGGGCTTTAACCTGGACTGCAGATCTGGAGTGGAGTGCACTAACCACGAGTTCCCTGCCGCTCCTCCTATTGCATAATGAGCCAGACAGATATCCTCCTGATAAGAAGCTAATCGATGTATGGTTTATCCATGTACTGGGATTTATGGTATGGCACAAAAAGCTTGAGTGGTAAACTGACAACCTGCTGGTAATTTGGGAAATGACATACACCCTCCTGCACTACCCACAGGGCTTGAAACTGGTCCGCCCAATCTGGAGTGGAGCGCACCAACCATGAGGTCCCTGCCGCTCCTCCCATTGCATAATGAGTCAGACTGATGTCCTGATAAGAAGCTAATCAATGTATGGTTTATCCATGTACTGTGATTTATGGTATGGCACAAAAAGCTTGAGTGGTAAACTGACAAGCTGCTGGTAATTTGGAAAATGACATGCACCCACCTTAACTGTTCTTGGTAAAAATCATTTTGTTAGTGGTTTCATTTTGATAGTGGTTTTGTGATGAAGCAAAATGTTGCAAGCAAATGGTTTGATGAAATATTTGATTTCAATTCAGTGTCTCTAGTTGAAAGAGAATTCTTGATTAGGACAATTTTTCCAATCCCCCCCTTAAAACCCCTTGGGGGACTCCCATATAAAATGGACGGGGTGCCCCTTTGAGGTACCAAGATCCTGCTTTGTGGGCGTGGCTTGAAATTTTTTTTCACCCCTTAGCGGCACAAAAAAAGCTCTTACTGTATACCTTTTGAGGCTGAGAACCCCAAGAGGTACCAAAACCACTTTTTTAACCCCTAAAATGTACAAACCCCAGAGGATGGCAGACATGGACATAATTATACAGGGCGACCTGTGCTGTTACGAGGTTCTTTATGACTGGCCTAATGAAACAATAGGTAAACAACACAAGCAATGCCTATAGTCCTAAGAACAAAAGAGGTGCAGATAAACAACGAATCAAAATAGACATTTTAAAGAGGTGCAGGTCAACTTTTTATTTTATACGGATACACATTGTGCAGTTCCAGAAAATATGCATACTTCCCTCACAGAAGGGATTGGAATTTCCTGGGGTTTGGGGTTCTCTAAGACCAAAACATTTAAGAAATGAATTGAGTTTAATTGGAAATTCCATGGTGGGGAAGTCTTGTAAAAAAAAATCCCTTTCGTGGACGAGGTATGGATATTTTCTGGGACTACACATTGCCTGACCATTATTGTATGGTGACATGACCTGTCTCTCTATGGGCAGTTCTTTGTCCTTGAGAAAGAGATCAGACATTTTACCTGAAAATTTTCTTACTGGTAACAAAGCTTTAAGAGATCCTTGTGCAGAGGTCAAACAACCTTCACAAGTCTTTGTAGAGCTTCATCAGCATGAAAAGTTAAAATCCTTTTCAGAGGTAGTTGGGAGGCCAAGCCACTTAAGTTACATCAAGTTTTTCCAACTGGGGTGGGGCGGTGTTTGGCCTTTGTGGGACTGGGAGGATAGACTGCATGACAACTTCACTTGGGGAAAAAAATTTCTATTTCTTGAAGGGAAGATGGTCCCTTGCTCTAATTTCCACAGTATAAATGACTAACCCCACAGTAGTCTATACAGATTGTTTTCGTATCAGGGAATGGGTCTGGGTTCCTTTCCGAAACAGTGCCTGGTAACCTAGCCTGCATGTCAGGTTACCCTCTCTGGGAGTGGATTCTTTGGTGTCTTTGACACACCATGATCTGTTTAGTAAAGAAATGCAAAATTCATTTTTGGAGTGTTTTGGATTTAAGAATCCAATCTTGGATTTTCTCAAAGAAACGCACCCTAAGTCAATAACCAATGGAGCAGATTAAAATATCTGCTTGTCAGGTTCTAATGATTTTCTAGTATTTCCCAAATTCAAACTACAGCGAAACTTAAAGGAGCTCAGCCATGATATTTTGAGTTATTTTGGCCACATACAAAATTACCTCTAAATGGCAGGAAACCTGAAAATAACAGTTTAATAAGATAGAAAAACACCAAAGAGATAATGCTAAACCATAAAGGAACAAGGATGGCTACGGATGGAGAAGATTAACACAGATTACAAACGATGAATTTCAAGAATTGAGGCTAAACTTTTCAATATGCACAAACTGTGACGTAGCTCCTTTAAGCAACAGAGCACTTTTTCGGTGGTTACAAAGCCTCATCTAAACACGAGGGGGATTCAGAGAATTGGAGAGTTATGCAAATCTGAGACGCATTCAAGCATTTCCATAACTTTTGAGAATTCTCCCAACCCTCTACGTGTTTAGATCAGAAAATGTAAACACAAAAAGTACTCTGGCTTTTATAAAATGTTTCTCAAATATATGCATGAATCTAAAATGTCACAACCATATTTACATAATCTCATCTAAACATACCTATCGACCATTCAGACCGCACACAATATTTCAGTTATTTTATAAATTGCAATGGCACATTTTACAGTTGTGCCATTAGCAATCGATATTAGACCTTTGAGCTGAAGTGAAACAATAATTTAGTTGTGATACAGATCTTCCAGTTTTTCAGTGGTAAATTATTCTGTTATGTTAGAGTTTGTTGGGTAGTTTTACTCTATATACTTTTAAAATACAGAGACTTAGTTACATGATGTCACCAATCTGTAAAATGGTGTAGTTTCTTCAATTTATTTCCAGTGACGATGTTGACATCTTAGTTGTAAGTATTTAGTTTAGGAGAGAAAATCAAAAGCTTGATATATAATTCAGCAACATTTTGAGTAACTAATCAAATTGTTCTGTAGGTTGGTTACCCCTTACTTAAGTCCTTCAAACTAAATCTATAGTTGATATACATATTTACTTCAGTCTGTCGTAAAAAGATGAGTTATAGTTTAATTTACATGTCACATGAGACCACACCCACAAAGTCATACATTAAAATCTGCCAAGTCAGCATGACAAATATTGAAAATAATGGTTATATTCCTTGACAAATACATTCCAAGAGGAACAAGTAAAATTTGCTCTACAGGGAAACAGAAATATCTTGTTTGGGCTTTCGTACAAGTTGAAATTCAATTACAGTTCATTGATTCAATGAAGATCGCATGTGTCAATACAATGTCGGAGACTGTTATAACACACGCACCTTTAGTAAAAGATAGAAATATGTACATGAGAAGTTTCCTACCGCGATTGAGTACACAATCGAGATATGAAATCGAAAGTTTGCCTCTTTTTAACTAAGAGTCCATTTTTAAAAATATTTTGTAGAATTTTACCGATTTGTACACTAAAACATCACAATGCTACAGAATAGAGTATCGATATTTACGCTTAAACGAACAAAACATATACCTACGGCTTAAAATCCACTGAATTACCAAAATATTGCCTTCCTATCGAAATAAAGGCCATTCTTGAAAATCTGGGGGCTTTTACTACGATCATAAACACGAGTACAGTTCAAACACGAAAATTGTATAGTCAGCATTCGATATGTGCTAGTTTGTAAACAAAGTCCGCCGCAATGAATCTCACTTGATAGTATTTCATTCATCGGGATTCGTCGCCTTCGTCCTCTGAACGAAACGAAGATTTCCTCGACCTCGATCGATAATCGTCTGAAAGATCAGATTCCTGTGAATCTTTGAAGTTACTTTGCTCTTCTTCGATTCCCACCACGTCAACTTGAATCTCGTGTTCGGCCGTTGATGATGACTCGCGATTGCCGACCCCAATCAACTGCAAACCCACCGTTTTTGTTCTGTTAGTCAATAACTTTTGTAGCGAATCGTATTTTTTCCTCGCTTCGTCTCTCTCTCTCTTCAAATTATCGTTCTCTCTGGAAAGCTGCTCTAAGTCTTCACGAAGTTGCTGCCTCTCCACCTCTAAATCCTCTTTTTGTCGTACACGTTTCGTCCGACTGTTTTGAGCGTAACCGCGGTTCTTCAACGTTCTCCTCCTCTGCTTAATTCGGTACACCTCGTCATCTGAGACGCCACGCAGAACGCTGTTTAAATCCTTGACCGGCAAGTTAACTAAAACTTCGTCAGTCAAGTTGATATCTCCACCATCCTCTTCTTTCTTCACTCGTTTTACGATGGCGGGCTTCTCTTCTTCCGCCATGATGCCGCCCCAGCATCCTTTGTTGTACGCACGTAACACAATGCCTTCAGCTTTCCGAGAATTTCGATTCCTCCAAGGGTTCCAGTGTCAATGTTGATCTGCAGTTATGGGTCAGGCTAAGGTCTCCCCAGGGAATAAAATCTCTTCCCTCCCTATCTATTTTCCACCCGAAGGCTACCGGAAGTTAAAAGGGGTTGAGCGAGCCTAGGGCTGGAGTCCCGGGGGGTATTCCCTATACAAGGAGCCTCCACCCAAAGGGGGTTCTCTCTTCTGGCTTCAGGTACATAACAGGGTAGGGATTTCACAAGCTGGTGTGTAAAAATATAGGAAAATCTGTCATTTAGTTACTTTAACAGATGCACCTCATGGCCATCATTTAATTTATTAGGCACTACATGAAAATGACAAGAAGACTTCCTTTTTTGGTGATTTATTCACAATATGGTACAGTATGTGAAAGGGGCACCTTTTTTCTAGTAAAGGCATACAAAAGGGGCATCTTTTCCGTCAAAGTGGTGTACAAAAGGGTGAGTGGTTGGACCTTGGGGCAGAGCATAGAACTTTGTGGGAAGTCTTTGTGGAACTTTGGGTAAGTCTTAGATTCGTTGCTCTCTCAGCTCAGTGAAACCTAGGGTTTGGCCAGTGGCACTTACTACCCATCAGTTGGAGCAGAAGCCCATGGTATGAGAGTATTTATAAGTATTAGTAAAGAAATGCCAGCTTCCCACTCACCCCCCCTCCCAACCCCAGTGCCCCAATGTCCAACTCTCTCATGACCACTGTTATGGCCATCTCCACCTGCATCACTTTGTTATGTGACTCTTCTTGGGGTAAGTGGGATTGTAGAGAGAGTTCACGAGAGAAGGAAGTTGGTGGGGGGTATAGAATGACAAGGAAAAGGGTAAGTTTATGACCAAAAAATTTAAAGAAAAGTATGAAACTTAAAAAAAAGCCCTTCTGTGGGGAAGGAATGGATATTTCATGGAACTAAACCATGTTTAAATTAGTAAATAAGTAAGAAACTTTATTTTACCGCGGTAGCCCATTCAGCATCAAGGACTGCGGTATCCATAGGGGTCCTGAGAAATAAAGATATGTACAATCTAAAAAATCTTAAAATTAAGTTGGGTCACAGTTACATCTATGCCATCTCTCCCAGATTTATGCGGGTGTCTTTGCGGAATCTTCTTGATACAGGCTAAATCTTCCTGTCACCTAGAAGTTGAGAAGGAAAGCATGTTTTCTCACCAATTTTGGCGAATTTGGGGGTAAACGTTTGATCCACCATTGCAGTTTGGTGATCACAAGTTCTTTTCAGAATTTTTAGGTTGGTGTCCCATGTTTGTTTCCTTTTATGGGGAGCGGGGATGGCACAGTGGTTAGAACGTTCGCTTCCCACTGATGTGGCCCAGGTTCCAATCCTGGACCCAGCGTCACATGTGAGTTGAGTTTGTTGTCGGTTCTCATCCTTGCTTCAACAGTTTTTCAGCAACTCTGTGTTCCCTGGTTTTCTTCCCTTCACAAAAACCAATTCAATCTTGAAGCAGTGGAAGAAGAGGCTCTCCACGGAATGTGCTTCTGCAAATTCCTATTTACTTATTTATTTTTTTAAAGTGGCATTGATCTAGTCATTAGTAGTTCAACTGAGTTGATTGTAGAAATATGAACATATAACAGGTTTCAAAATTAAAGTACACGAAATAAATAGGTTTAAGAATTGATTGACCTGAATCATACCTCAAAGCAAGCGACTTGTACTTAGTTTAAAATTCTTTAAGTGCCCCTATTTTTGTTGTGATAAGTCACTCCATCGACACCTTGGTTGACACTCAATTGACACTCAATTGACACTCTGTCGACATCTCAGTCGACAGTTGACTAATTTTAGATTGATGCATATGAGTTGGTCGACACTCAGCCAACTATTGACCAATTGTTGATAAAGTGTTGATTGAGTCAACTGAGTATAGATAAGGATATTGATTGAGGGTATCGATCGAAAGTCGATCACGGATGCCATAAGTACACATGATCCAATTTGTCCGGGATATTTAAGTAGCTTGATCTTCAGTGATGTCCAAACCATTTTTCACTCTGGCATTTCATGTTCTGTTTTTTTTTAATGCTTAAGTTTTGAAATCCATAATTCTTGAGATATAGATCAGTTTTAAATTAAGTGTCAAAAGTAATCAGGTGATTACTTTGGTTTTGGTTTTTACCACTTAATTATAAGCTCATATTTTGTGTTCTCTTGACCTACACAGGTCACTAGTTTTATAGTCAAAAGATATGAAGTCTTGTAATGGCACAGAGATGTGTCTGTTAATTTTTCAAGCAAGAGTGACATGTTCTCGGGAGATTGACTCCTTTGTGAAAAGGTCAGAGATGCTTGTCATCTTGCTTAGGGGTATAAATCCTCAGATTTAGTCTCACTTAGGGTGCTCAGGACCAATTACTGACTGTATTTTTAGTTGTCAAGGTGTCCTTTAGGGTTGCACTCCAAACAACTATACAAAAACACTGTTATGTTCATTTTAAAGTGGTATCTTTAAGGGGTCAAATAAAGCTCGAGCCATTCTCAGATTGGTCTTCTTAAGGGGTTTAATTCAAACTTTTCTACGAGCATCCCAAACCTTTTCACATGGGAGTCCCCCCCTCCAAGATGTGGAAGACCTCATGCTGATTGTATGGTGCCTAACGTTTGGAAGAATATCTTACTCGTAAAAAGAGTTATTTAAATAATTTTAGCTTTTTAAAGAAAGACTGAATTTGTTGCTTGGGATATGGTTTAGTCGCAAGACAAGTAGGATAGTTCTCTGGTTGTTCGATCCAGAGCTTGTGATCAATTTGATTGGCTGATAAATTCTGTGATAACTTTTCCAGTTCATCTTGACCTGGAGCCTGCAAATATAGTCAACAAATTCACAAGATCAGTAATTCCATGAAATATTTCATTGTTTTACTTTTTCCATTAGACAGAAAACCTTGATTTATTCACTGGGAAAAAAGCAGCATACAAATTTATAGACAATTACAAATTAAAATGTTACAACTTACAGAAAAGTATAACAGGTGAAATGAGTAACTAAAAAGAACTATTACAGTATTGTATATGCCAGAATCAAACAAAAAAGTGCTCTAACAGTGGCAGATGTAGGGGGGGGGGGGG